GTAGTAGTAGTAGTAGTAGTAGCAGCAGCAGTAGGAGTAGGAGTAGGAGTAGGAGTAGGAGTAGGAATAGGAGTAGGAGTAGGAGTAGGAGTAGGAGTCGGAGTAGGAGTAGGAGGAGTAGTAGTAGTAGTAGTAGCAGCAGCAGCAGCAGGTGTAGTAGTAGTAGTAGTGGTAGTAGTAGTAGTAGTAGTAGTAGTAGTAGTACTAGTACTAGTACTAGTACTAGTAGCAGCAGCAGTAGTAGTACTAGTAGTCGTAGTCGTAGTAGTCGTAGTTGTGGTAGTAGTAGTCTTAGTTGTTGTTGTTGTTGTTGCTGCAGCAGCTGCTGCTGCCTCCACTACCACTGCTGCCCCGGCGACGACGACGACCACCACCACCATCATCATCATCACCACGGCTACCGCGGCCACTGCGGCTACCTCTACCGCCACCGCTACCGCTACCGCTACCATTACCACTACTACCACTACTACCAACAACAATAACGACGACGACGACTACTACTACTACTAAGAGTAGTGCTACTGCTACTGCGACTGCTACTGCTTCTGCTACTGCTACTGCTGCTGCTGCTGCTACTACTACTACTACTACTACTACTACTATACTGTACTACGACTATATTGTACTACGACCATACTGTACTACGACTATACTGTACTACGACTATACTGTACTACGACTATACTGTACTTCTACTACTACTACGACGACGACGACGACGACTACTACTACTACTACTACTTCTACTACTACTACTACTACTACGACGACTACTACTACTACTACTACTACTACCCCACTACTTCTAGTACGACCACTATGACTACTACGACTTTGATTTTTGCTATTGCCCCCAACCCCTCACACTCGCTCGCTGAAGCCCGGCCAAGCCAAGACAGCTTCAGCCAAGCCAAGCCAGCCTGAACCAAACCGACCAAACCAAGCCAGTTTCGAGATTGTGCACCACCCCTTGGTGCACACGTATATCTCTAGTTCCCATAGCTGAGTGTGTACAGCCGTAACCGCAAACCCAATCCACCCGCTGTTGTATCCCTGCACAATAGGTGAAACCCCTACACCCGTTGAATCCAAGCCAAGCCTGCCTAAGAAAACCAAGCCAAGCCGAAGGCCTAAGCTAAGCAAACCCAGACTGCCATTGTCGACATCTCTAGATCCAGATTCGTTGTTTTTGCTCTCTGGTTTAGACTTTTTGATGGAAATTTGATTTTCGATCCCTAAACTCAAGATGACCTGGTAACCGGTATCAGATTTACTGTCTCGAGTCCTGCTAACACTTGAGAATGCTGCTTGGTCACTGTCAAGCATCCGCCTGCTCAGGTTCAAGAGGAGGAGAACAAAGCCACCAGCCAGGCATTCATGCAGGGTATCTGGTACACAGATATACTTGTAATGGGCACCGTTGGAGCGAGTGAACCTCAGGGACATGGAGGCAAACTTACGTGCAAAGTCGTGTTCGCAAACAAGCATCAAGCCTGCTCAGTTTGTCACAGAGGGAGGCACCCGGCTACCACGGAGGATATTTGCAACAAGATCAAAAGCGACAGCCTCGAGAAAAGGAGTTCCGTGTGAGGTAAGCTTCGTCCCAAATGTCGTTTTGTCGAGTCTAATTGTTATGCTGGCATTCATTCTCGTTCTTGCCTTTGTAGTCGCCTCTTGGGGATAGTCGCTTGTTAGAGGCAAGGGTATCAGCGGGCCGCAAACCTTAAGCCTGTGATCCCTCACAACCACATGCCCTAGGCTCGTCAACCCCGAACCCGGAAGCTAAACGCTAAACCCGTATTCCGGACTCCTCTTAAGGCGAAGGAAAAGAGGCGATCAAACAAAAGAAAACCTAAAACCTAAACCCTAAAGCCGGAAACCCCTAAACCCCATAACCCTTTGTTTTGGAGTCGGGATGTCCCCGATAAATGGTGCAGACTGCGCAGGGAAGCCTTGGGCATCCCGAAATGTGTCGACGGCCCTGCATTTACCTTCAAAAAGGCAGCTTGGGCTTGGAAGTGCTTTCGGGGATGTGGTGTTCAGTATCTGGGTTCCGGGGGTCTTGGCTTTTTTAAAAGGGATTGGGCTTCAGGCTGTCGGAGTATGGGATTGAATGGGGCTCAGATCTGGAAACTGGCTCAGAGTATTTCGGGCAGGCATGGGCCTAGCAACTAGAGGACTTCACCTTTTTTTTCGCTAGGGCTTACCTGCCTAGGGCAAATTCGGGGCGAGGTTTTCTTGGCAGACTGTATGCGTGAGCTGGACCGGCCACATCAAGTTTGGATGAAGATTTGGAAGCAACCAGTGGTGATTCGTTCGGGATTACCGATGCTTGGCAATCAAGGTGTCCAGACTCGCAACAAGCTTGAGATGCTCAGGATAAGTGCAAGAGCAGGTAACAGCAATAGTAATAGTAATCGTAATAATAAGAGTAATAGTAACAGTAAGAGTAACAATAATGAGTCTGCCAGACTACACTACCCTCCCTCCTGTTAGGCGACTGCGCAGAGGGAGCCAACTGTGGCTACTGCCACGACGCGCACCACGAGCGCTCCAAGAAGCTGGACAAGAGGCCGACGGAAGGGTACCTCATGGTACCTGAAAGCCCCAACATGTCTTCGAGGGGTTTGGGTTTTGATGATCATGGGCCTGATCGAGTGTCTGATTGTATTTATTGGGGTGTAATATATATATATATATATATGTATTTACACACACGCACGTATGAATATATGTATATATTAGTAGATATGCACACACATACACACTCCTTGATCTCTTTGTCTGGCAGTCTTTCGGAGAGTCAGGCCTGTGCCTGCAGCCGAAAGCTTTCTCGGAAGCGCCAGGCAGAGGGAATTTCTTCGCAGCCTGGATGACTCCAGCATCCTGGCCTTACTCCTCCCACATCTTCGCACCAGGCTAGGGGCCTTGACGATTCGTTGTTGCATTTTGGGGGGGGCTTTCATTGCTTCCTGGGTTGGCATCCCGAAGCGGGGGATAGGAGCGAGTTGTTGCACTACGTGCTGTGTCCGTGGCAGTTCGATTGCACCGGAAACCGAAGTTGTGGGGCCCGGCCCGGCCCGGCAGTCAGCGACCGTTCTGACGGCAGGGCGCGCGAGGCGACGCTTCCAGAGACGGAAGCCGGAGAGGTCCTGTCTCTCCTCGAGCAGCTCGTCTTGTGGCAGCGTAGTGTGGGAATGTCAGCCGGAGTCGGTGTCTAATGATTCATCGTTGCGTGGGGAAAGTTGTCACCCAGCCACTGGGCCTAGTGCCCAGCTGCACTCGTGGAGTTCATCGCCTCCTAGCTGCGCAGTTCACCCTTTTCGCTTCATTTCGCGCCCAGGCGCAAGCTGGCTACTTTGGCTCCAGCCACGGCTCCGGCCATTCCCATGTGGACGCCTGTCTTTCATCACTTTGATCTGTTTGACCTTCGGGGTTCGGGTGATCAATGGCTTTTTGTTGGTCAAGGTGAGCTGTGC